GAGAGAGAGGGGGCGGAGAGGGGGAGAGAGAGGGACAGGAAGAAGAGATAGATCTTTTCTCAGTTTAGGACCTCCTCTGGAGGTGAGCCAGCCTTCCTTAGAAACCATTATTCCCTACCCCTCAGCTGGGGTTGCAGGATTCCTCTCGGACTTGAGTCATCCGGCGACCAGAACGTCCACCCTTCACATTTTATGTCCACGGGGAGTTTTCATTTACGACCGAGGCATCGGAGGGGTGGCCACCCCAGCCAAGATCCAGCTCCAGACAAATGAAAGATGCGATAACGGTTTCGGCCACCCCTCTTTCTTACAATCATTAGGAAGATGTTTGCCCGGCCGACTGGCTGCCCCCGAAATTGCCCTGGCAAGGCTGGGCGACCATAGCCCCTCGCACCCATCGTCTTTTCCGATTTTAGTTTATCTGACAATTCTCTACGCACCGCCCCATTAGATGACTCAAGTTACGGCTAGCAGTGAGCGCAGAAACGACATAACTCGACAACTTGAGGTTAAAATCTGCCAATAATCGCGTGCTTCTGCTACCCAGTGAGAAGCCTTCGACGAAGACGTCAATTTCGATCCTAACGGTAAAAAAAAATCGACGTCGTTCAGACTTTCAACGTCAAATTAATATCCTTTCGACGTCAACGTATTTCACTGGGTCCAGTCTCGAGCAGGGTGTCAGCCCCAGGCATTCTAAGCACCTCTCACACACAGGAGGGGCGTCTCACGGGGGGCTATCATTGATGCCAACTCCGATACAGGGGATGATTTTACATTCAAGCCATAGAGGGGCACCTCTCATTCTCAGTTTTCCGTAAGGCCGACCGCCTAGAAGGGAATCTAGGAAGAGACTCGTAATTCAGCTGCTTAACATTTATAAAGAAAAAGTGCCAACGAGCTGATTTGCACTGGTACTATATGACTCTTCTGGCCGCTGTTGAAGAAAGGGAGAGATCTTTTAATTGTGAGGGTCCTGTGAAGTGTTTAGGGATGTGAAGATTTGATTAAAAGTACTCACTGATGAAAACCGATAAATAATTTAATTAAAAATATAAAATAAGTCTTTTGTCGAACACATAACAAGACCACATAACAATCGTCGTCTGTACAGGGGACGGACGTATCTTGGAACAATGTTCTTATAGGTAAAATTAATTTGTACATTAAATATCACTTCAGTTTAACATAGGATACCTCGATGAACGTAGACAAATGTCATAATGGAAACAAATGAGGACCCTTACAGTAGAAACATTACACTAATGGGTAAAACTGGAGATCGTCAGCACTCTGAAACAAACAGAAGAATGACGAACATGTTAGCTGTTTCACCCTAGAGACCTACATTCCCCACAGCCGTTCCACAACTAGTGAGCATGAGCTCTCAAATAGCCTCTCACACACTAGAAGTGACCAATCTCATCAGCTGCAACTAGAAGAGATGCACCTGTCACATGTTTCTTGCCCGAGATGCAAACGAATAGCTCGACGCTAAGTGCGTGCTGCTAATGATCTACATCCACCGTGGGGTACAGTTTTTTTTTAGCGCCAAGTCAATGGTCGGCAAGGCAGCGGGTCTGATCGTCTACAAACTTCAATTCAACTACCTTTGAACAATTAGAATCTCAATAAACATTGGAGAAATTTTAGGAAAAATTGTTAAAACACTGGCCGTGTGCAACGTGATTTGTTTGCGACTGAGAGGCTACGTTGGTTTGCAATACACGTTCACACTCAGTAGCATACTATACGGAATCGAACGATAATCATTAGACTTTAACATGGGATCCAACATGATCATTAGTGATCCCATAACAAATAGACATGATCACCCCCCAACTCCCAGCGCAGAAGCCCCGTGCAGCAGTTCCAATGCACGGGGCATTTTTCATCATCGTTCGATTCCGTATAGTATACTACTCACTCCCCATCTAAAGACGTGTCTAGTCAAGCTTTGAACAAAACCGAAGGTGCACTCAGTCGCTCACAAATCGTGCTTCAGACGGACACCCCGGCCACGGATTCCCCATTCCAGGAGGGTATCGAAAGTTCCCACCAGGTCGACCCTTCCAAAAATATCCAAACTTAAGTTGAAAGAACACTTGCTGAGCTTCTATTTGCAAGGGGCAACTGGTAGGCTACGCCCTTTCTACTTCCGAAAACCAGCCCATCCTGCAAAATTGAACAGAACAACTTGATGTACTCACCAGATCAGTTCAGGAGTGGAGATACCGCTGTCACGTGAAGAGGTTCTCGCTGGCGGGCGATGTTCCACCTGCTGGGGTAGATGCAACATTGAGAATTAATAAAAATTGCCTGTATTTTACACACACGCATAGTAGATTTCTACATTAAAGAAGAGTTTCAGAAATCTTCAATATCAAAAAAGGATTTTGGTTACTCACTACTTGCACGTAGCTGCTCGCACCGGCTTGCATCCCAGGGTAGAATTGGGTTTGCTGCCCTTGGTTCCCCGACATCCGACTCTGCTGTCGACTCACTAACTGCGGTTGTTGGTAAGCCATGCGTTGTTGGTACTGCATCAGGATCAATTGCTGGTTCTGCACTTGACTTTGCTGCTGTTGCTGCTGTTGCTGCTGTTGCTGCTGTTGCTGCTGTTGCTGCTGTTGCTGCTGTTGCTGCTGTTGCTGCTGTTGCTGCTGTTGCTGCGTCTGGTATTGCGGCTGATGCATCTGCTGCTGACTTTGTTGCAGGTATTGCTGGGGCTGTTGCCGCTGACTTAGGTGGTATTGCTGGGGATGCTGCTGCTGACTTTGTGAAGGTTGCTGCAGCTGACTTTGAAACTGTTGCTGTAGCTGATTTTGAGGATGTTGCTGCAGCTGATTTTGAGGATGTTGTTGAGTCTGCGGCCACTGACTAAACGAACTAATCTGTAGCTGGGTTTGTTGGTATTGTTGCATCTGCCACGAAAGATTCTGTTGAAGCTGAGGTTGCAGCAGCTGATGTTGCTGCACCTGAGGCTGCAGCAGCTGAGATTGCTGCAGATGAGGTTGCTGGAGCTGAGATTGCTGCAGCTGGGGAGGTTGTTGAAGCTGATGTTGCTGCACCTGAGACTGCAGCAGCTGAGATTGCAGCAGCTGAGCTTGCTGCAGCTGAGGAGGTTGTTGAAGCTGCGGTTGCTGCTGCCGAGGTTGCTGCAGCTGAGCTTTCTGTCGCTGAGCTTGCAGTTGAGCTTTCTGACGCTGAGCTTGCAGTTGAGCTTGCTGTTGAGTGAGACGTTGCAAATCTTGATGGCTGTATGAAGGGGGGTTTTTGGTATGTGCATGTTGTTGCTGATAGTGGGTTTGCTCCTGTGCCTGAGCAGCTGTGACGGACTGAGTCGTCGAAACGTGGACCAATTGAGCACCTTGAGGCACACTGCTGACAATGGTCCCAAAATCTTGAACAGGAAGCGTTTGGGATTCAGCTTGGAACACTTGAGCGTAGGATTGAGGAACTTGAGAAGCGTAGGATTGAGGAACTTGAGAAGCGTAGGACTGAGGAACCTGAGAGTAGGATTGAGGAACTTGAGCGTCCATTTGTGAACGTCGTATCTGTGATGCCCCTCTACTGTGGCTTACTTGGTCTCCGCTGGTAACTTGCCCCCCCTTCTGGGACGGCACTACCATCACATTGGGCGACGCATGGGTAAGTTGTAAACCGTGCGATGTTCGAACGATGGCTGCTTGGCTGGAAACAGGAACTGGCTGACTAGATGGAACTTCAACAGAGCGGTTTTGGTTCTCTTTAATGACGCTGACCTGAGACTGGCTTGGTAACTGTGGTGCTGTGCTTGGCATTGGCTGTGGCGTAGACTCAGCAGTTGTTGGAGCTCTTGGGCGTTGATCATACAATGACTTCGCCACAAGAGCATTGAGCGTCACCTTTGGGTCAGAATTAGGCAGAGTCAATCCTAAGAGCATATTCACCATTGACATTAACCTCATATTAGAATACAAGTTTAATTTTTGATTTTTTTGCACTTCTTGCAGTAGTTTGGGGTAGAAGGCAGAGCCCAGACTCTTCATAACACCTCTCTCGACGCAATTCCTGACGACGTCAGCTTTGAAGCCTATAGATGTGGAACATTCTAACAATCTATTGATTGTCTCTGTGCTTTTCGAGCTCAATGAATCCTTCTCAAGATCCTCGTTTAATTTCGACAGCAGACTTTCAACGGACGCAATAGCAAGGGCTGCATCAGCAACAACCAAGTCCACAACTCCAGGTGTCAGAAAACGCTTTTGAGGTTTAGAAGATGTTGAACTAATCTCCACGGAAAATGAGGACTTCATCTGATGGCCATTTGGCCCCAGCTGGGGACTGGCGGTTGCTGCACGGGTGGAGTTGTTTGGCTCGACTGTCGATGGCTCTTGGACTAGATGGTCTCGGGCGGTGAGATCACTCACAGGGGGTTCCTTCGCTTGAATTCGAGATTCCGTGATCGGTCTCTGCTCCTCTGTTGGGTGTGGGTTGTCATGCGCAGGAACCTGTGACGCTGATCCCTGATCCTCTGCGGCATGTGTCTTTTTTTGCAATGAAACCTGCGACGCTGGTCCCTGATCTGCTAACGCGCTTGTGTTTCCATCCGCTGAAATACTTGTGTCGTCTTCCACTGGGGCAATACGCTGTTTGGACTTAGGCTGCTCTGAAGTTTCCGTTGATCTTCTTTTGCGGGAGAGAGGACATGGCCTCCGGGAGAGAGGGCATGGCCTCTGTCTGGCAACTTTGGTCGCTGATGTACTGGTAACATGGCACGCATCTGGCACAGACTCTGAAGACGGAGTCGAAGATGTAGAAGCCCTGCTGAGAAATTGTAAAATGTATTGACGGTCTTTTCTTCAATTTTTTAACTTTCGATAAACTTTGTATTTACCTTTGATTAGCGAAGTCAGCCATAGCTTTTGCAAAATCAACCCTCTGCATTCTGACCTCTGGTCTTGACTGTAACTTGCTCAAGGCAAGCTTTGCTGAGGTTCCACCAAGAACCTTCCCAGACACAATCTGAAACATAAATAAAAATTAAAATCCGCAAGTCTACAAGGCAACAGACACCGCCACACACGTGTGAGCCCGCACCCTCAAGGCCCTCCACGCTCCGCTCGCCTGCAGCGATATCGCCACCCGTGCAACTAGGGCACCTCGGGCGTGGGTACCCAGGTACGAACGGGGTAAACAGGCCTTACCGGGTAGCAGCGGGTAACCCGGGTAGACCCGGTGTGTAAAATTGTCTACCCGCAGGGATACCCAGTAAGACCCGTTTACCCGGTTTCTACCCAGGCGTGTGGGTACCCGGGTTATCAGGGTTCAACGAGTGCTATCTCTTTAAGACAGGAAGACCGACCGACCGGACGCCAGATATACGCGTAACTCGGCGTAACAAAGCCAAATTATCTTTTACACCAACGAAACGATATATTTTTGGAAAAAAGAAAGAACAGGGATTATTATTCTGTAAAAAAAAAATGGAACTTTCAAGCCAAATTGTGACGGAAAGAGGTATCGAATGATGATTCACATTTTAAGTTTGCAACAGCTGTTTTAAAACCGTTATTTCCAGTACTCCCTGGCGCAGCACCCGGACTCCTGGCGCTTCCTACCGGACCCGCCGTGTTACGCTTTCAGTAAAACGCTCCGTTCTCGAGAACGGGGCGTCGTAGAGAAATTTCAAAAAGTCGACTGAGAAGCCGAAAGTTAAGCGAACAATCGGCTCGCTTCAAATTTAGGTCTAGGACGTCTCTTAACACTAGAAATAACGGTTTTAAAACAGCCGTTGTTTACTTTAAACGTGAATCTTCATTCGATACCTCTTTGCGCCACCATTTGGCTTCAAAGTGCCAATATTTTAACAGAATAGTAATTCTTGTTCTTTCCCCTTTCCAAAAACATACCGCTTCGTCAATTTTAAAGATAATTTGGCTTTGTTACGCCGAGTCGCCGAGTTACGCGTATTCCTAGCGGCCGGTTGGGCGGTCGGTCCGCCGGTCCGCCGGTCCGCCTCTCTTTAAGAGATAGCCCTCCGGTAAAGTGAAAGCCCTACAAGCAACGGAAACGAGGACAGATGCAAACAGACAGAGCAGATCCACAATACCATGAAAACAATGGACAACGGAAATATCTGACTTCCAGAACAGCGCGTGAAAGAGACACATCTTGAACATTATTCGCTCAATGACCATTACTGTATTTTCAGCTAAAAACTTCTTGACGTTAGTAACAATGATTCGCTCTAATCTAGTTATATCTCAATGTCACATTTATTTGCTGCAAAGGTCAAATATATAAAACTACAGTACGAATAGCTGCCTATGTGACACTTTGTGCTGGCGGGTTATGCTGCTGTACTAACCAAAACTGTCCACCGGGCAACTACGAGCCCCCCCCCCCCCCCAAAAAAAGCCCCAAACAAAAGCAAAGGGTAGGATGCCCCCCAACCAGAGAGGAGGGGAAAAGGTGCGCGGCGCGAGGTAGGCAGGCGCGGCACCCACGCAGAGGCCGGCCAATACCGCATCCAACTCTCCGAACGACATCAGTGCATTCAACCACCAAACAACATACACCGGTGCTATATCCAGTTAAGAATTGGTCGTTTCCACGCCCAGCGCAGCGCGCGCTCACACCGGCGTAAGGCGGGCGAGGGGCAGGGTGGGGGAGGCAGCGGCGAAAGAAATGGTAACCCCGCTTCGTCCCCCGTCTCACATCTCTCCCGCCGCGCGCGCTTAGCGTAAAAACCACACCATTCTTAACTGGATATAACACCGTCCTAATCCGTACCTGGGACTCACGATCGAGTGCACACCTACTGAGTTGAACACTTGCAAGTATTCAACTTGCAGTTGCACGCTTAGTTTATAAGTGTGTGTCTCTTAGAAATGGTACTCATCCTTAAGGGTTTTAAGAACGGGGGCAAACTCAGATATTTCAAATTCATTCGATCAAAAAGTCAAAAGTACAGCAAAAAAATAAAAATACAAAGGGGCAACAGAACAAAATAAAAAATCACGGCAAAACAGAAATTGATTCGCAGAAGATGAACGCCTCACTGTGGTGTAACACCCAGTACCAGCTGACAGGAAGAAACGATGTGCTGTAAATTGCTTAAATACTGAGGTTTTGCACGGCGAATTGCTTATCTGGCTATTTCTCAAGGCTGACAGATAGCCCCCCCCCCCCCCTCGAAACACCGCACTCGAGGCGCTTGCTCGGACACGCACACGCAACAAGTCACGTGACTCCCATACGCCCTGCCCAAAGGTGCCCCGCCAATTCTTTCTACACTAGCCCGAGCTCAACTCGCGAAAGGGCGCGCAAAACTCGGTAAACACCTAATGAAGTAAAGAAATCCCTCCAGGCAGCCGCGCATTAACGGCCACAGCCAGTCGCAAACCGAGCGTTCTCTTCATCTAGCAAACGTCATTCGCAGCTCTCCGAGCTCGCTGCCGGAGTGCCAGGGCGATTGAGACACCCCGTGTAAGACTATAGGTATGGGAAACGGAGGCAACCATAACGAACGACTGAGGTCAGTGACTGATTTTGATTATTGACATTATGTAGATTACCGCCTAGCTTGCGAGCCGTAAATTTAAAACAAGTCAGAAAGAGAACCGGGGAGAAGTGCAGGCGCGCCATGAGATCCGGTTGTCAGAAGGCTCCCCAGAACGGCGTCCGGTGTTGCATGCAGGATTATTATGGCCGATACAAACTATTACTTCAATTAATTTGAGATATTAAATTTTGGCACACATTTCTGCGTTGATTTTAACACCCATGTGCATTCGTTTTCAACGAAATAACACATTTAGGCGCATAAAGCTCACAGGCCTTAGAAAGAGACAGTCCCCTCGAACAGGCCACAGAGCTCCCAGCAGAGGCGTTGCCAAACGCCAAGCCTCCAAGCCGAGCGGAGGAGAGGGGGGAGAGGGGTCGGACGCGGCTGAGCGCAGCGGTTGCCACATGCACATTACACCCGAGCCCCGCGAACCTGTTCTAGAAGAGAAGCGCGTGGGGGTGGGGAGCACTTTTCTCCTACTGGTAGAGACACTCTTTAGGACTGTCGAATAAAAACATGCAACAACAGTTACTGTTTGCTAGCCTCGGGGTGATTACTGTGATGCCAGCGCCCGGACTGCTCCCCAAAACTCTGCCTGCAACAGCTGCCTGCTCTACACTTCCACGCACCTCTCGCACGAGGGGTACGACAAGGACCTGTCAAGGGAGAAGCGGGGAAGTAACACATCTTGGGGAGGAAATTTTCTTCCTTCTACAATAAACTGCGGTAAACAAGAAGTTGTGTCTGCATTCAGCCTTAATAGGGCATTCCAATGGAGCGCGGAGCGGAAGCAAGAAGAACAAAAACGGAAGGTGGAAAGGCGCCCGCACTCCTCCCCGCCTGCCCCCCACTCCTCCCCGGGCGCTCCCCCACTCCGTCTAGTGGAGGAGAGTGACGGCGCGGGCGGCTTTCCATGTTCCGTTTTTGTTCCTCTTGCTTCCGCTCCGCGCTCCATTGGAATACCCTATTAGCTTCTTATATAAATTGTGTATAAACACCAAAAGTCAAAATCTACCGGGGGCTAGAAACATGAGAAAGGGGCTTTACAATTTATAGTTTTAAGTTTTCTGACTTTAAAAAACTGTATAGGGAAATTTTAAACCATCGGATTTAGTATATGTGTTGCACGCAAGCTTGAATCCTGGTAAGTCCACTTTCAGGTGAATTTTGGATCAATACTCGTATTACCCCGCGCGTGGCGAATATAGCTTCACTACCTTAATAGGGCATTTCAATGGAGCGCTGGCCGGAACTAAGAAGAACAAAACCGGATACAGAGAGCGGTGGTGGGGGCGGGCGCGCGGAGGAGCGGAGGGTGGAGGGGAGCCTCCCCGCCCGCCCTCCGCTCCTCCGCGCGCCCGCCCCCACCACCGCTGTCTGTATCCGGTTTTGTTCTTCTTCGTTCCGGGCAGCGCTCCATTGAAATACCCTATTGACCCCATACAAAACAAAACCTTTACAACTAATTTTCAAACCCTTACATTTCAAAGAATAATTACTGTAAAAATATTACAACACAATAGTTTTAAAATAAACAAAACATCCATGAATTTTATTTTGTTGTGTTCAAGGGGACCCAGGACTGAAACATCGCAGAAATCTGGGAAAATGACCACAAGTTGATTTTGTAAAATAAAGTTCATATCAGGCTATAAAATTAAAAGGGTACTGAATTATAATCGTTCTAATATCAATAAAGACTCATGAAGAGTACACTATGACCACCTACCAACTAAAACTTAACATAGAAAAGAATTGGGAAAGTTTAAAGTTTACGTAAACTTTTCTGAGCCAGAAAAGTTCCTTGCGCTTAGTTTTTTGAGATCCAGTTGTTTTCTCATCTTAAAAGCAAGACGCAAAACATTAAATGAACAGTTTTTCACTAGTTCAACTACAGGAAGAAATAAGGATTTATATGGACCAAAAAATGGTTCAAAATTAGAAAATTTTTGATCATCAAAATGGACCAAATATTTCAAACAAAGAAAAATGTTTTAATTCAAAAAAGGGTTCAACGATACTTGTACTTTAGACCTTTCTGATAAGAAATACCAGTACCCCAACTCCATGTTACAAAATTTGGTGCACATGGAACTTGGGGGTGAGTGTCTAAAAATTGTTTAAATCCACCATAAGCTAGAAACGGTTAAAGTTGAAGAAATTGTCTTTATCTCTAATTTGTTTCTCAAGTATTTAAATTTCCGAAAACAAAAAACCTTTTCATATAGAGGTCTCTGAGATAGCAAATTCAGTCCTGGGTACCCTTCAATTAAATATTCTAGGAGTAAGTTGCCAAACACTTTATCTCGGAAAGGAACTATCCCAATTTTTTTTAACCTTCCGAGCATTAACTTGGGTCAGTTTTCTTTTAACTAGCCTTTTAATACAGAGGGAAACCCACAGTGAAACAAGATTCTGGGAATTACGAGCAAACCAGGCGAATGCACTCGGGGGAAAGGGAAAGGTTGAATGGGGAATCACATGCGTAAAAGTACGGGACAGCCCCCGCGATGGAAGTTACACTATAAATCCCTCACAATTTACTCGAAGTTATGAAGCGAATGCTTTTTCAATACTAGGTTAGGTTCTCGTGAGTTTACCGTGATCTACTGTAGAGTGGAGACTTTCAATTGAAGTAAATCTTTTAAATCTAAGAACAATTGTAATTTACGAGAGACGAAACACAATAATGATAAACGGAAAAGATATCGATAGCATATACGAATAAAGCATTCCGGTAAAACTGAAAAGAAGAAGGAGGGGAACAACAAAACGGAAATCACTACGCTATAGCATGGTGACTTCAGGTTTCTTGTTACCCGCATTCTTCTGCACTTCAGATTCACCAGAATTCTTCATTGAAATTTCACTTGTTATGTTCACGAGCATTCAGAATTTCTATCAAATTATTACTTCAGCTCTAACACGAAAAGTATTGCGACGGATGCAACAAGAGCGCAAGAGCGAAAGGCATTCGGTACATTTCTAAAATTCATGGGTTGCGAATAGCACAGCCGCTCGCTCACACGCTCACTAGATTCGGAGATGCGCGACGGTATCTAAATTCGCACTCACGTCGACGGGGACAGCGAGAACTTGAAATGTTCCCGGTGACATCGACATCGCCCAGTGCCGGCCCAACCCGCCCCCGCCCGTCCCTTCATCTACGCCTGTATCCCACGTCGCCAAAACAGACCGCGGCAACGACCGCCCGTCCCTTCATCTACGCGTGTATCCCACGTCGCCAAAACAGACCGCGGCAACGACAACAATCAGCCAGTCTGAGAGAGAAGGATAGAGATAGAGAGAGAGAAAGAGAGAGGACTCTGTGCGCTCTCTGTACTCACCTGCTGCAGCTTGTCTTTCCTCTCGTTCGAGGGCATACGCTTGACCCAGCTCATGAACTCCAAGTTGATCTTGGACTTGTCCTTCTTGGCGGCACGCTTCATGGCCGGCGCCGTGGTCGCGGCCGCCGGGCTGTCGGTGTTTGGGGACACCATGGGCACCGCCATGGCGGGCGGCGGGCGGGCAGCGGCCTCTTGTTGTCGGCTGGCGCGTGGGGTGCGGTGCGGCGGCGCGGCGCGGTACGGAGGCTCCCTCGAGACACGACCTAGCGCGCCGGCAGCGAGCGTCTGACTGACGAGCCGAGCCGGCCGGAGCCGAGCGGCGAGGCGAGGGCGAGAGCGGGCCCCGACCCGGCACCCGGCTGGACTGCAGCCCAACCCAGCCGAGCCGAGCGCAGCGCAGCGCCGGGCGACGGCGGGGAGCAGGGAGCAGGCAGAGCAGCAGGCTTGAGCAGCGCCAGCGCCACGCCGCGCCACGCACCACCCCACCCTCGGCCAGGACGGGGGAAGGGAAGGGGCGGGGGGGGGGGGGGCAGGGTTCAGAGAGGCAGCAGGAGGCTCTGCCGTCTCCGCGTCTGCGACTGGCGCTGGGCTCTTGGCTCCTCTCCACGGCCACGCTCACCTCTCATCTGCCACCTGCCCGTAGCGTAGGCCGCGACAAACCCAACACACCCAAGGTGTTCGGGACTAATCCCGGATCAGACAGAGTGAGTGTGCCTGCGCGTCCGGCGGGCTTTCCTCGAGCGAGAGCGAGTTGCCGCGGGGCCCTCCCTTCTCTTTACCCTGCGCTCCCAATGATCATAAATAGCTGCCCTCCGCTTGGCGCCTGTTCTGTGCCCGGGCCAGAGGAGAGAAGTAGGCGGCGGCGCGCACTGCCGAGCGTCCGGGGCACGAGGCGGTTCAAACGGGAATGCACCCGGAGAATCGTTTCTTTGATATAGACGTTAATGAAGTCTTTCTTCCAATCTTCTAATCTCTTCCAATTTCTTACAATCTTCTTTGAATCCAAGAAGCCTTCTTTGATCAAAAAATAAATATTTCTTTGTATCAAATGAGGCTCTTTAATTTAAAGAAAATACATATTTCTTTAAGTCTTTATCAAAGAAATATGGGCCAATGTTCTTTGTTTCAAAGAAACGATTCCCTGGGTGTGGCCAGGCCAAATGCCGTCTGCCTGCCGAGAGGAGCGAACAAAGCGGCGGCGAGCAGCGGCGCTCAAGCCGGCAACGTCGAGGGAATGACCACTCGTGTGCGCCGCCTCCGCAGTGCTCCGCAGCTTCGCAGTGTCGGGCGGGCGGGCGTGGCCCATGCGGGCGCAGCAACGCACAAGGTGGCAACGTCGAGGGAATGACCAGCGCGGCGGGTCTTGCACAAGAGCGAGGCCGTGTGGTGTGTGGGCGCAGCGGTGCACGAGCTGGCAACGTCGAGGGAATGACCAGCGCGGAGGGTCTTGCACAAGAGCGAGCACGAGCTGGCAACGTCGAGGGAATGACCAGCGCGGAGGGTCTTGCACGCTCGCTGCTCGACCACTGCCTCATACATACGTGCTCCCTTCACATTAGAATTAAATCGCTGCCTTTTCGGACTGTCACCCTGTTCTCTCTTGCTGCCCTTCTGCGGCCTCCTCAGGCGCTTGCGTCTTTATTGGAATACTTCCTGGGAACTTTTCTCCTCGGTTTCTGGATGCGTCCCCTCCTATTCGGTGTTCTCTCATAGTCGACACCCATGGCTGATTAAACAAATGACCCACGAAGCGCTCGTATTTAAATACCGCGGGTTCGAGGGGACGGCGGCGTGACAAAGCGACGAGTGCAGAGTCAGCACGCCTGCGACTCGCGCCCAGAGCACCCGGCGCGGCACTAGCGTCGAGCGAAGGGCGGCCCAGAAGCGCCGCGGTCGGCGCGGCGACCAGTTGGAAGTGAGTCGAGTATGCGACGGTACAAGATCGGTTCATCAGGTCCCACACCCATTTCAAGAAAGTACATATAGCGCGTCGTGGCGCCAACTTGGCGTAACACTCGTGGTGATAACATTTCGAGGTAAGCTCTCGCTAATTGAACCCCATTTAGTTTAATTATTTCAGCAATTTTATTGAGTTACACCATTTCTGAAGAGTTCGTCGGCAGGAGTCGCCATAAACACACGACTATCCAATTAATGGACCACTCTGCTGATCATCACTCGGGAAATAGCGATAGTTCATTGTACGACATGAGCCCCTATACGAGGCTGCCCGCGAGAACATAAAAGTGGGCCGCAGCCGCGGGCGGCGCGGACGGCGCGGGCGG